GTTCAGTGTACTGAATGGGTCGTAAATCTAGTTATCAGAATAGTATGAAACAGAATTGACAACTGATTTGTAACTTTATTGACTCTTATGTACGAAACAAAGAAAAGTATCTTTGACATTTATATAGATAAAATGACATAAAGTAAGAGTGTTACATATCTGGAATCAAATCATTTGCTGCCCTAAATCAATATAGGGTAATGTTGAATGGATCGCAAAACACCCAGGCTGATAATTTATTTCTTAATTATTCATAATTCGAATTAATCGACACGAATTAATTACCAGAGTTTAGTTAAAAAAAGAGCAGTCGAAATTTTGAACTTTTGAATGTTTCAAAAAACCTTAGAACAAGAGAAAGAACAACTTTGAACAGTACATTTATTAAACATCTCTTGAATATAGGACATCAGGTCGATACCTTTCAACCTTTCAAGATGATTGATAAGCAGCCAAGTTCCAGTTCTCTGAAGTTTACTGAAGTCACTTCTATCAGGCATCAAAAAACCTCATATATTTGTTCAAAAGGGAATGGTTGTCAATCTTTCTTTGCCTTGGTGACAAATATCGCTTAATTGCATCTTAAGAAATTGTTTTCAACTCTTGATTTCACTAAATCACACCATTATGTTTTTTTATTACAACTTTCTTGTAGATTAATAATCTTATTTTGTTAACTGAGTTTTACACATTCTTATTATCAGCGTTTACATAACCACTTGTTTCTAATCCTTTAGACTCTTGCTATAATTAACATTGTAGAATGTTCTTTTACATAAAGTGTATATATTTACAATATTTTATTCAGTTTATTAGATTTATTTACACCGTTGTCTACACAATACTGATGTGTTTACAAAATAACTTCCAACTAAACTTTTTCATGTAAGTAATTTAAGCTTATTTCGTAAGTATGAATTTGAAATATCACAGGTTGTAAGCAGCTGATCAGAGTCCAGAGAAATATGATGAATTCATGCTTTTCTGCTTAAATCATTAATTTTGCTTCTTTTTGAAAATTAAACCTGTTTGCCTGTCCATAGTTAAGAATATGAATAATGGTTTTCACTGAATCATAACAAATGTATATCATAGGTATCAATACCAAAGTTAGACTTGATAGTTCCAAATAAATTGAGCATTAGATAAAAAGTTAATCATAAATATAAATTTGTTATATCCTGATAAGTAGAAAAACGGTATTTCTGATGTTTAGTGACTTAATGTAAGCCAATTCTTCAGTTATTAGATAATGCTGTATGTATTACAACCAGTTATGAATGACCATCATACTGTGAATATTTCAAAATGATCTATTATGAGAGAAAATGTTTATATATTACAGTAACATCGTTTTATTTGAACAAAGTCTTAGGTGAACAATAGTATCATCTATAACCGATAACAAACACTGAATTAAGAAGACGGATTTTTAGTTAAGATTATGACGCTATAGCTTTAGATAAGAAAAAGTGTACACACAGTTTTGTAATAACATTAAATCTCTTTTGACAATATCGATTTTAATCTTGCTAATCGGAGTAGTGAAATTTACATTGTTTGTTATTATTTTTATATTCAAATTAACCTGGTTTGATCCACTTATTTCTTATATGGATATCATAACACATTAATCCCTGATCAGATTCAAATAAACTTATCAGAATAAAATGTATAACATAGTTTGGATAACCATAGTCCTGTCATTACAGACTAGCTAAATTTATCAGAGGGATTAATAATATAATTTTTTTAAACCACCACCTTTAAATACTGTAAATAAATTGGAAACACCATTACGCTAGTTTCACTAAAACATTTTATAAAATGATGAACCGATCTACGTTAGAAAACCGTTGAACACATGGAAGCACTGTACGGTCGTCTCATCCTAGTATGGGGCTCCACAGCAGTGTTCACCCATGGTCCTGAACGCGAGCGTCGTATCCGGGATCTTCAGTTTCGCTCTCAAACTCTTAACCTTACTATTGCTCGCTATTATCAATAAGACTCTTCTTGTTTGTGAATCAATTTTACTTTACCTATTACTGAAACTCAGATTCAAAATAGTGGTCATAGGAGGTTTGCAGGGCGGTTAAATCATTAAATCACTAGTATAATTTAAATGACCATCAATCTATTGATCCAAGGCTACTAAGTTATATGCTTCAATGAAATATCGTCTAACTACTGATTTTTATTTCTTCTAATTTGATAAATTGTAAATGTAAACAGAATTAATGCATCAGGATTCCAGTAAACTGTCTACATCTAAATTGTACTACTTGCTCCTTGGAAAATATTATTAATGAGTATCCTTGAAAATAATCACAGTCTGTACAAATAAAATAACCTATAATCTATAATGATTATTGTTCCGTCTACACTATTGGATTACTGATGGAAGTATTGATCTGCCAGTCACTAGAATAAAGGTTCGGACTTTGCTGCTTGTGACATCAGTTGGTTATTAGTTCAGCGTTCATCTTCAAACATGATAGAAAGTAATGGCTTAAATGTTGGTCAAGCGAATATGTACTTGGTTTATGAGTTTTATCTTATTAAATTCACCGCATTAGGCTCACGAAAGAAATCAAATAAATAATGTAAATGAATTTAATTGTATAATTTGAAATAGTAAAATAACTCTTTGGTTGAAATTTTCACTGATTTACTCGATTACGATATTAGAGGTTTATTAATATAATATTTCGTTCTCAATGTTAGACAGTTGAAATAATACAAAAATGTTCCAGGATATTAATCAATCAACTTATTGGTCTATATGTACTGTGCTCACTGTGTGGGATATAGATCTTGGTTACGCGACGATCAGATGTTACAAATCAGCTTGAAGTAGCTGACCGGAGAGAGTTGGTTCTTAGTAGTTCTCTAGTTGGTACAAGCAAACTTCTTTTTGAATGATCCGTAGAAATCTACCTTAATATTATTTATAAAAGTGGAATCGAACCAATATCGGTTTCTTAGTCTCACAATTACTTTTAAATTATAAAAATGATTAATTACGTAATTAACATTTCAATGGTTATTTTCTTAGTGGCTTGTTTTAGTTTGATACTGCTTACAAATAAACTGTCAAATAAGACTGATGCAAAGAAACTATACATTCTGATCAAATGTTTATATATGACTACCTTAAATACTATAAACAATTTGAAATGACCTAGTGAAATTCGTAAGGTATGAATACAATGAGTTACTCATAATATTTATGAGTAAAATTAAAACAACTTGAAACTGAATATAATACAACTAGTTATTGTGTGAATTACCACTTTCAGAGTATTATAAGGAATAGTTTTAATATCACTTAGTGTTGTTTGCTTGTATCTTCCCATTAGTATTTAGGACTGCAATTGATCAGTCTCTTGTTGGTATATATGCATCCTGTGTGGATTGCCTAGATATTGCCTTAAGTCACAAGCTTCATAAGCAAAGATAAATGGTAGCTAGCAGTGGAAATATTAAAAATATGAAGATACAAGTAAACAACATTCAGTGAATTTAAACTTCACCCCATTGCACAAGCAGGTGGCTATCAGGACTCAGTAGCTATGTGGATATCGTGATGGCGTTTGAAGTGAACGATGATGGATTTGAGTTACAGAGTGAGCATCGACTGTGGGATGAATGTGCATCCAGCTGACGAGTCACAAATAGGATGAAACGTGCGTCCTGAATTCCACTACTTGCCACCGTCCATCTTTGCTCACAATACTTTTAATGGTTTTAGAATAGATAAGACTTGTCAAAAGCGGTGAATTTAAATATTTACCAAACTGACCATTTTTAAGATTAGAAAACTTGCTATGTGTTTTATTCAAAAAATCTTCGTTTGTTTCCAAGATTTCGAATTATATTACGGATTACTCTTAGTTGTATGAGTCTTGAAATTAAGGAAGCTATCAATTCTATATTTATCTATTATTATTATTATGTTTGAAATAGTAATTTGTATCGTGACTAGCAGTAAAATCAAGAAATCTGGTTTCATCCAATGCGAGATTCATTAGTTAGATTCCAGTTTTAACGTTCACACTAAAGATTCGAATGCAGTACCTATCCTTTCAAATATAAACTTGTTATCCCCCAAGCTACTGAGTCAAAATAACCACTGGCTTGTTCAAATGGTTTGGTGTTTCTTTATAAAATTTTATACTGTTGACAACAGAATATAGATACATACATATGATATGTCCCAAATACGGTGTAACATACCTTATAAATTCTGTTTCTAGCTGCAGTCTAAATTTATTTAATAACTGTCATAAAAACTACTGTTTAATGATTTAGTTTGAAACGCATATCTACCAATAAAGACTTGCCCAAGTTTTGTTATGATTTGCGATTGCGTTTATTCACATGTACATTTTCATGATAATGCTTTTGGCAAAAGTTTGAATAATTGATTGATCTTAACTCAGCTTTTGTGGTGTTGTACAAATGTGTAAAAGGACGTATACTAAAGTTTATTAAAGCCATACGAAAATTCAACCCCCCTTTGAGTATTCAAAAACAGTTTGTTCTCACCTTAAACCTACCCTGGTAATATTAATTTATTATCCAGAGTGATGAGATTTCAAATTGTGTTCACATTATTAGTGTTATTATTATTATTAATATTATTACTCTTATCATTATCCTTGTCTTCTCTTACCCCATTTCCAGTCTAGTTGATCTTTTATTTTTATATATAAATGTTCTTAAAAAGTATATGTGTGATTAGATTGTTGGAAATGTAATGTGCTACTATATCACATAGATTTGATAATCTTCGTCTTCTTATTACACTATCGAAATTCAGATTTCAATTCTAAGTGAAACATAATTTCTATATTACTATTAATGAGTGATAGAGTTATGAAATTCAGATTAGATTTTTTCTGCTGAACATACGTTATCAAATCAAGTTTTTAAAGAAAATTAATTATCATATTGAATGTACACTTTTTAAAAAATGACATTAATAGCATACTTACTGTTATTTGTTACATTTTGACGTGGCTGTTGTCGTTTTATCTGTAACCATTTATACGGTTGTATAGACTTCATACCTGTAGTTGTTATTGTCGTCGTCGTCGCTATTACTGTTGTCATTGTTGTTGACATAGTTGTTGTTTTTGAAAGTGTAACTCCAGACATTGATGATATGTTATTATCTAATTTATTCATCTTTTTACTATTGCAAATATCTTGTGTATTAAGTAATAAATGACTATTGATTTCTTTCTCAATATATGTATCACAATTTTGATTATGAGAATTGTAATAATTTAAGTTACCTATCGTTTCTCTTGATGTTAAAGTACAAGATGATGAAGCTGACGATAACTGATGATTATTTTGTTGTTGTTGTTCTAGTTCTTCATGAATATCTGTCCAAAATGGACCATCTTTAGTATAATCAAAACATAATTTCTCCATTTTTATTTTATCATCTATTTTTGATATATCTATCATACTTTTTCCAAATGACTTTGATGATAATGTATTTATTTCTGATGGAAATATTGTTTTTGAATTTAAATCATTTGTTGATGTTATCAATGAAGGTGAATATGTTTTATAATAATAAGATTGTTCCTTTTTTACAATATTCATTTCATTAAAATGATAATCTATCGATTGATTATTGTGATGATTTTTATTGATTACATAATCATTATCTTGTATTAATCTATTATTATTATTATCATAGTGATTAGTGTGATTAGTTAATTCCATTGTGGAGGATAAATGATACTTTTTATTTATAATATCGAATGGATTCCGTTTTTTAATAGATGAATCTGTTATTTCTTGTGTATTATTCAAACAATAAATAGAATTTTGTTGTTCATTTAATTCATTTGAAGATGAACATTTAATAGGGAATGAATATGTAATTATTGAATTAGTTAAAGGAGATTTTAATAATTCAGAACATAATGATGAAGAAGATGACGATGAGGAGGATGACGACGATGATGACTGGTGATGATATGTATTATTATTATCATTATTATTATCACTATTATTATTATTATTGGCAGTAGTAGTATTAGTATTATTGGTATTATTATGTTCCTGTTTAGTAAAACAATTATATTGTTGATATTCAAATAGGCAATTATTTAATTGTTCAAATGAATTATCTATAGGATTTAATAAAGTTTTTCTTTGTTCACAATTTTTATTAAACTGAAAAGAGAAATTGGATAAAGATTTATCATTATTTTGTATATTTGTTATATTTAATTTATTATATTCTATATTATAAATATTATTAATAGTTGTATTAACAGTATTATTATTACTTAATGAAAATTCATTAAATAAATTATTATCTGACAAAATTATTAATTCGCCATTAGTTGAAGTATCAGACCAACAGGTGGACATCGATGATGATGATGATGTTGGTGTAGAATCATTGATTTTAGTGTTAGTTATAATCGATGATATACTTGCTGTAGTGGTTACAGTATCACTAGCTTCAGAAGAAGAAGAGATGATGATGATGATGATGACAATGATATGGGTGTGGATGATAACGATAAAGATGTTGGTATTAAATGATTATTACTAATAGTAGCTGGTAATAATACATTATAATCAATTCCATATTCTATAGAAATAGATTCATTATTAGTATTATTACTATGACATGGATGCAATAAGAATGATGTATCATCAAGGGAACGTGTCGATGAATCACTACCACTATATAGATTATATTGTAATCCATTCATATCATAGTCATTTGTATTCGTTTGTGTATAATATGAATCAATGTAAACATGAAATGGTAAACCAGTTGAAGATACTAATGATGATGGATTGTTAGATGATGATAATAACAATGATGATGATGATGATGATGAATTATTCAATGAATATTCATAAAATGGATAATACCAATGTGAATTATTACTTCCATAAAAGTTTGTATAGTTTTCATTATCCAAGTTAGATATTGGATAATCAGCTGTCAAATTCATAATGTTAATTTTACTTCTTAAAAAAAGAAACAGGAACCACTTTTTCTTTGTTTTACTTCAAAGTGAATTTGTTTACATAGAGATTGCCGTCAAATAAATAACCATTTTTATAGTCTCAAGTATGTTATAAAATAGTCTAATAGACTAATTGATATTTGTACACTTTTCATATTACCTTATTATTTTGCTTATCTTAACGTGATGCGGTTGAAACTTCTCTCACCCTAGAAAGGATGACTATATTATGAAATATTTTTTCCTAATAGAAAAATTGTCTAAAACAAGCAACAATAGAATTCGATTAGTTAACGGGCTATTAAATATGTCTATTGGTAATAAATGAATAAAGGGAGAGAATGGGAATTTATCAGGTTAAATCTGATTGGTTACTATTATAATAATTTCTCTTTAATACCAAAGGGATAAGAAATTTATAGGCCCAGAGACAGAAAGAATGAATTGTCGAAAATATTGAAATTTTCATTATTCATATACAAGTAGTTGGGTACAAAAATTTACTTTCATAGTTAACACGAGCTAGCTTGTCGGTATACTAATTAGACACGAAATAATATTAAAATGTCATAAGTTAAAACAATGACAGACTTGATGTAGTAATATGTCTATAAATAAATTCTAACGTTTCTTGATGCTTATTTAGACGTTGTTTTTGGAAAAGATTTAATATGAGTTTTACAAATTATATTCATAGCGTTTTGTAGAACAATAAACCAAACTAATCTCAGAACCTATGGATCAACTTAGCTTCAAGGTAGTTAATAGGCTCTACTTTATAAACTCCGAATTTTTTTTGCGTGCAACTATCTACTAATAGGTAACATCATTGTTAAAGCTAAAGGATATTTTATAAAACCGCTTACATAAATGTGGGAAGATTCAAACAACCAATACAAAACTTAATTAGACATCCTCCCATTACTCAAGCTAGTGGCTAGCTGGACTCGGTAACTAAGTGGATAAAGTGATGGCGTTCGAAATGAACGACAATGGGTTCGAGTCTCGGAGTAGACACAAACTCTGGAATGCAGATACATCCAGCTGACAAGTCCCAAATAGGATGAAACGCGCGTTCTGAATTCCAGTGCTAGCCACTATCCATCTCTGCTTACAATGCTTATAACTTAAAGCAATAAAGGATGCACTTATGCTAATAAGATACCGTTCAATTGAAGTCCTAAACATCGATGGGAAGATTTAAACAACTAATAAAAAGTGTATGTAGTTATGTTTGTGAATTTATAACCTATCATTTTGTTTTTAAAAACGTAAATTCGAATTCTAGAATTTAATTCCTCATAAATCTATTAAATTCATAATATCAGCAGGGGTTTTGTGGATATTATAGTAATTTTAATAGTTGAGATCATGAGTCAATTGACCACCATAAAAAACCTAGAAGCACAGGACGGCCGTTTCGTCCTATTGTGGGACTCCTCAGAAGTTTTGTTAACCTATTTGGCTATCTTATGTCAGTGTTTTCAGTTCAGACTCAATCGAATAATTTCTAAATGAAATTTTATTTAGGTTGGTTTATGTGGTTGGGATGAGAGGTAGTTTTTGGAATTAATGATTGTGAAAATGTATTTAAGGGTCGGTTAAATCCATTGAACATTCAAAACACATTGAATTACATCTTATATGTAAGCAAGCTTTTTTAAAACTGAGTACAGTTTACATAAATTTCGAAAATCCCTGTCTAATTAAAATTAAAGTTTATGTTCTTACGTAAAACACGAATAATGTAAGCTTAAGGAATATATTTGTAGTTGATCTATGCAGATATAAGCTGATTAAATGTATTACTCAAAATATTTTGATATACAGTTAACAATGGGACATAAAGATAAACTAGTTTTTTAAGTAATACAGTTATTCATCAGTTATTTTAATGGCTACTCAATGAAATGAAAAGCTTCCATGTTAGATGATTAACGAAGATGCCTTAGAATATCTATCACAGGAAGATGGCTTAAGCTGAGACTTAAAGTTCATCACTTAAAACTAAATAAATTAAAATTATGTAGAAAAGCACTGATCATTCATTTTGTTTCAGGTACATAATTGTTGCATATGTTCTGCTAATTGAAGATTATCGACTGTATCTAGTAAAGTGAGTAACCCAATACTAAAATAAAGTAATACATTAAGATTAGGAAATAAAAAATGACTAAAATAAGTATCGAAAGTCTTGGTTTATTACCGACATTCTTCAGTCATAAAATTTTTTTTATTCTAACATCAGTATAGGGGTTGTGGAGATTATTAAGCTTTTAGTTGAGGTCATGAACCAATTGATGTTAGGCCATTATTGAAAACCTGGAAGTAGTGGACGGCCGTTTCGTCCTATTGTGAGACTCTTCAGCAGTGTGCATCCACAGTTAAATTCAAACTAGACCACCGTGGGAAACCTGAAAACACTGTACAGTTGTTTCGTCATAATATAGGACTCCTCAGTAGTGCGTACCTACGACCCCTCACCAAAGGGACTCGAACTCAGAACATTCGGCCTCGTGAGCTAACGTTTAAACTCTAGTGCACTAAGTCGGCATGCAACGATATTAATGTTTAACTTCAATCGATTCGTTATCTTGCGCAACCCTTCATCCATTGTTTGAGATGAATGATTGTCTAACATGAGACATGGATTAGACTTCAAAGGTCACGGCTTCCCCAGTGTTTCCAGGTTTTCAGTGATGGTCTAGCTTAAAACAACTGATGAATTCAACTGTTAAAGTACTACAATCTTCAAAAATCCCTCTACTGAAATTTTTTTATTTATTTTGTCTGCTTAAATTTAAAAAAATTTTTTGTATGAATAAGTTATTTATTGTTGAAATAAGTGAACATGTATCAATTAAATACGATGTAGACAGATTCAGTTGAATGCTTTCGAATTTCTGCTCAAAATTCCTTAATAATAAATTTCGTCTTCACATTGCATTATCCACATTTACATATTCACTGAAAATATATGTAGTTTGAACCAAGATATATTAAATACAATTCTTTATTGTCAAATGTTCCACATATATTACTCACTATTTCATTTTCAGTAGTTCTAAAATAGTTTTTTAAAATGATTTGATATGACATTCAAAACATCCTTTATTATCAAAAAATGTATTTGAAAAAAACTATAGACATTAGGGATAATCTTCTAGTCAATTGTTTTTCAATAGTTGAGATCACGAGTCAATTTAAACTAAACCACCATGGAAAACCTGGAAGCATTGAACGGCTGTTTCGTCCTATTATGGGACTCCTCAGCAGTGCGCATTCACGGTCCAGCCTTTCGAGATTCGAACCCAGGACCTATGTGTCCCATTTTAAAATTATGTAACTACTGAAATAAATATTTTTTATTTCAGAATAATTTAATAAAATTTTATGTTCATACCATTTTGTGAAAAGCATACAATCTATCAAAATCATAAATACCAAAGAATACATGAAGAAACATCATAGCCGTTGTCATATTTTCCATTTCGTTTATTCTCTGGATAAACTAGGGTTAGGAAATCTTAAAAATCATATAGAAAATACATTGTCCAATGTGGAAATGATCCACCGTTTACAATACCGAGGATGAATGATTAGTAAATAATGTTGGAATATATTTTAATGTATGTTTTAATGGCTACAGATGACATGTATGGTAATATGAAATTTACAGTAATACCGAATATTTTTATGCTAAGAAACTACTTACTGTAATCATACATATATTTCATTTTGTATTGTTTGATTGAACCTTTCCATTGATGTTTAGGACTGTAATTGATCAGTCTTTTATTGGCATATGTGCATCCTTTATGGATTGCCCCGATATTAGCTTAATTCAGTGGAACGATTCAAATAACTAATACAAAATGAACTAAATTTCATGTTATTGAACAAGCTAGTGGCTATCTGAACTCAATAACTAAGTGAATAGCGCGATGACGTTTGAAGTGAACAGTAATGGGCTTGAATCCCGAAGTAAACATTAAATCTGAAATGCAATACATCCATCTGACAAATCCCAAATAAGACGAAGAACACATCCTGGAATTCATTGCTACCCACCATTCATCTTTGTTTACATACATTTAGTGTTGAATAAAACAATTATTATCTCAGTACTTCGTTTTCATAAATGTTTTACTGGTTATTAGAAGTGAGGTGGACAACATGTGATCAGTTACATCCAACAGACTGTTCTAATTATTTATTTTCTAGGTTAAATACATACTATACTTACAATCTACGATATATGGATTTATGGGTTCATGAACTGGAAACTATGTGACAAAACTATTAACAATAGGAAAGGCATTTTAGAATCTTTACCTAACTTTAACAATTGTAAGCTTGTTGATGATCATCCATTTGAATTGATAATATGACAATTAAGTTTCACACCCATTTTTTATTTACCACACTCAGGTCAACGCAATGAGTAGATATGTTAATGTTTTGTTAACGATTACTATAGCTATACAATGAATCATTTCAAGATCACAAAATGAAAATCATCTCTTTTTGTTAGAATAAGTTCCTGATTTAACTTTCTGGTAAAATTATTAAGTACAATCTTAAAGAAAATGAGTTATTAGTGTGAACTATCGCAATTGATTGCGTGTCTAGTTCTTATTAGTGCAGATCGAATGCTATCGATCATATTGCAATGTGGCCATCAGCCTAGGTGACTCGATACTGCGTGCACTATTGTGAGATGAGATGGTGGTTGGAAGTAGTCGACAGGAAACCCTGGACCCGGACTTCGTGCTACTTGGCACTCGTCAACAAGGTGTACCTGTAATCTTGAGGGAACTGGTGCTCCCTGTGAACGATAAATAACCTCTATAGCAATTTTTACCAAACATTATCAAATGTGATGAAAAAAAAGACCAAACATTTAAATACTACACAAAATGTCTACTTACGTTTATAGTATCAGGCTTTAAACTGTACATGTAATTTGTGAATTCTATTTTTTTTCTTTCTTTTTTGTTTTTTGTTCACCAAAAACAAACAAACAAACAAACAAACAAGTGTTACTTTCAATCTCTTTTATGCATCGGTTTAAAGAATCTAAAATTATTCTACTTATATAGTGAAATGTTATATGACATTTAACTCATTTGCCGGTAGTTATTATCGAAATTTGTGATTAACTTAATATGTATGTGTAAATTATGATACATGCATTAAAACAAATATGTTTTCCAATATAAAAAACATACTTTTATTCATTGAAATAATTGAATTACAAATTGATTTTTTTTCTTAAAACTATTTTTTTTTGTTGTTTGTAAAATGAAAAACAAAAAGAATTGGAATGCCGGTTGTCTGATAGTAGTGGTATCTATGAGACTTTAATATTAAGTAGTTTTTTATTTAGTCTTAAAAAATGTGCGAGTTATTTTGAAAATAGATTATACTTTAATTAGAAACTAAAATGACTATTAGATTATATCGGTGTAATTATGCTGATGACGATGACAGTGATACTCATGATGATGATGATGATGATCATGATGATGATGATGATCACGATTATTGTAATTAGCATTTGGGTTATTTGTAAAGTTCCACAGTTTAATCTAAATCTTTTTTGATTGAGATTATGAATCGATTAATGTTAGACCACAATCGAAAACCTGACAGCATTGGATGGCCGTTTTGTTCTCACATGTGACTCCTCAGTAGTGCGCATCCACGATCCCTAAAAAAAGAAGTGGAACTCAGGACCTTTGGTCTCGTTCGCGAACACTTAACCTCTAGAGTGCTGAAGCGGCATCCAACGGTGTTAATACTTAACTTCTGTTGACCTGTAAATAGCTGCTTAGAAGTTTTCATGTATAATACGTTTAGAATATTGAAAGAAGTTTACTTCAGCCCATAACTAACAAGAGTTTTTACTTAAGCTATTTATTGATGTCAGATTTATGTAGTGGTTATATGTGGAAGGATATTTTTGGCACTATAGTACAGTAGATATCGAACTTGTAACTATATTGAGCTTTATATAGTTTTGCAAAATTAGACAAGTATTTGTGCATCGAACACCACAGTTTCCAAACGATTTTAAATTTCTAATTAACACAGATTATATGATTTTCAGAAAATTAATGCAAATAGGTGACTACGTGTGAGTCCTCTGACTCAATTTTATGCTGTATTTTTTGTTTGACAGTTAGTGATACCATTTGACTATCCTAATCGAAACAGACGAAATGATGTTCCAACTCACGACAGTAAGTATTGAAAATTGACTTTTAAAATAAAAAACCCATTTGAGACGACCTGCAATGAATTAAATAGATTCCTTAATAACAAACTTCTCATTTTAAATAGTGTTTATTTATTTAGCACTGACAGCTGCCAAAATTGATTAACAACTGATTGAAAGGAACAACTGGATTCTATGAATCTGTTTTTTATTTCACGGTCATTTTTAGATGGAATGTTGATTTTTAAAACTAATTTTTACTAAAGGCAAGAATAGAAAATGAATAAGTTATTAATGATATATTGGTGAATTTTTCTTTAGTTGCTGAAGGATGAAGTGGAGGAATGTTGAAAAAAAATCGAAAAGTTGTATTAATAAAACAAGTATCATATGCTACATTTTTAATATAGGTAAAGTAAAATATAGTTAATTAATTTAATGGTTTTCTGTAAACTTTCGAATTTTCCAGTTCATTTGACGACCTTAAATTAGTTAAATAACCACCGTAAGATGGAAAGCACTGGACAGTTATTTCGTCCTAGGATGCGACTCCTTCTGACTTTGATATTGATTGACAGTTGTTGTGAGTTCCATATGTTCTTCAATTGTAGGAATGCTGTCCTTACTTTGCCAATCCTTGCCTTTATGTCTGCATCCGCTCCTCCTTGTTCATCAATGATGCTGTCCAGGAATGTGAAAAATCCCACATCTTCCATAGCTTCTCCATCAAGTGTGATTAGGTTGGTTCAAGAATTTAATATCTTAATGGATAGTTACTATTGCCAAGCCGTACCTGCCATACGGAACAGTTTTATTTAATATAGTAGTCAGAAAGGACGCAACTGAGCTATTTATTTTTACCTTCAATCGAAAATACTTCCATGTATTAGAGTTCTTAAATAGCTCTCTTAGTGAGGAATGCATTAATTTAAAACAACAAGATACCACTAGTTGGCTAAACTATTTTAATTATATTTAACCATTAAGTAATAAATAATGACGAAGAGTTTGTAAGATAACCTTTGTATCTATTAACTGATAAATCTTAGTTTGATCAGGGCATTGAAAATTTTATTATTATTAACTATTATTAAATACTATTATAAAGTCTCTTAGTTATTCACACCAATCAAGGCTGATTTTTATTTAATGAAACTCCTAACAATGGATTCATAGGTGACCTATGCTCCTCCACGAGGGTTAACAAGCGTAAGTAAGTAAATAAGTCAGCAAGTAAGTAAGTAAGTAAGTAAGTAAGTAAGTAAGTAAGTAAGTAAGTAAGTAACAATGGATTCTTAATCGAACTAGAATAATAATTTAGTCAGATATATGTAAAGAAAAATGATTATTATCCATAAAAACCATCAATGTGATAATTTGAAAAGTCATTCTATGTAACATTATGAATATTCAATACTTGTGATTTACTTTCATCTACACTGATCAGTGATAAAAAACTTTTTAAATGAGACCTTTTTATATAATAACCGAACATTTTAAGTTGAAAGACACTTTAAATAATCTTTATTAGTCAAAGTATATAATTGGTAATGCTTGTCAATTGTATAATACATTAGACTACTTTTTTCTTTCTTTCTTTCTTTCTCCATTTTTCTTTATTGAACATGATATAAAATATGTGAATAATTGTTTTGTAAAATAAAATGATATAAACTTTTCAGTTTCAAGTGGTGGTCTATTTCTATGTAACGTGTAAGATGAAAAGAGATAAGGAATTCTCATATAATTAATTATGAAATATGTTAAGTGATTGTTACAAGTAGGTATGTTTCAAACGATATATATATATACAGTAGATATTTTGAAACTTAGTTAACATATATGTGAAACTATACTTTAAGTGTGAAGTGCTTCATGTCACAAGATATCTATTCATCTAGGTTATTAAATGATTATGTCGTTCAGATAGTTTTAAAATGACAATTTATTAGATTATTTATTATACTACTAAAATTGTGACTTTTTACTTGTCTTTTTTGTTTATAGAAAATATTGTTGATTTTTTTTCGGGAATAATGTTTCATAGTTTTGATATGTTGACTATTAGATATAATTATCTATTTCAGTATAGAAAGAAACTTTGTCTTTGAGAAGAGAAAAAAATTGCAACTTAAGCTTTGTATAGATTAGTGAAATTATTATTGAAGCCAGACTATCATGGAAAACCTGGAAGTACTGGACAGCTGCTTCGTCATAGCATGGGGCTCCTCAACGGTGAGCGTTCACGATCCCGCCTTGCGAGATTCGAACCCAGGACACATCGGTCTCGGACGCGAATGTTTAACCTGTAGACCACTGAGCTGTAATCCAACGGTGTTAATATCTAACTTCAATCAATCCACAAAATTGAACCACCGTCCACCATTGTCTTCAGTGAGTTACTATCCCACAACAGACCTAGTTGAACTACACTGATGACTGCTAAGGAGTCCTATACTAGGACGAAACGGCCGTCCAGTGCTTGTATGAATTCGCCTATAAAATTAGAATTATAATGAAACTGAAATGAAGTGACATGAAACCAGATTAATTACCAAAGAAACCATAGAATATGATTAAATAATAAAATCTTGAGACAAAACTTCAAAAAAAGAAAGTGAAGAGATTATAAAGTTAACTTCTTTCATTTGTTTAGGTGAAGGTTCCACTTTAGCCAACATATATTAATACAATTAACTTTACTGATGGAACATGAGTGAAAACTACTTAATTTCTAAATGAGATTATCACACATAATTAGAAAGCGTTGAATAATTGTCATGGAAATATATTAATACTTTAAAATTTTGTACAAGAATAAAACAGATATCTAGTGATTTACATTCTAAAACATGAAACTCGTTTAATTCAACTTTGAATATTTTCTAATTTAAGAATATTCATATCAACCTATTTTAATCAATGATTTTTTCTGATTATTCAAATTCATCAAAAGGGAATGAACTTTGTACAGAAGTATTTAAACCGTTCTACTTCATAATGCCTTACAGAAATAATTTTACTAAGACATTTCAATTTCCTATGATTACTGACTAAGTGACTTTATTTAGTCACAATACATTTGCACTGGTAACCTTTTATAATTTCTCTACATTAGGTGATAAACAGAAGTTGTAAAATTAAAAAAAAAGAGTTTAATGTTAAGTGTATTGATTGTAGTCATTAACTGATTGATCTAGTGTTTTACTATCTACTGGAAAACTAAATATTTAACAATTGGTCGATCACCTTTTTACACATATATTTTAGATGACAAGTGGATCAGTCAGTTTTCCTTTAGATTTCTTTTCTTTATAGGAAACTCTCCAAAATGTCATTGATTCAATCGTTCATTGAATTAATCAAGTAAAAATGCTAAGATAGATATTGATTTTTAAGCATGACTTTTTCTTATCAATGTGGTGAAAATAATCTCTCCACCATAATTTCGTCCCTGTAACTGTCCAGAGGATTTTTCCTATTAAAAATTTCGTAAATAATGACAGATTATCTACAAAACCATTTGCAGATATGAGAAAAACTGAGAAAAAAATCCTTTGGACTCAGATTAATGAAAATATGCGGTGATGTTTGTATAAAATTAAATTAAGAAAACTGACAATATGCAGTAATAATAAACTGATAATATGACTAAATCTATTGAGATATTACTTTTGATTATGTCAGATTCGTTGCTTATTGGTAGAAAAGTGACTTATAAGTCACTTAAGAATTGCTCAA